AGTTCTGATGCGGTGCCTCTTCTTGCTCGAAAAATATGTTTTCAGTTCCATTAAGGGAATGCATCAATAAGGGGTTCAAAACATACTAGTTAAAAGAGGCGACGAAGGGGATATCGACAAATATCAAGTGTAGCACACTTTTTGGGAAGGTAATTTTTAAAATCCTTAGTTAATTAAAAATAATAGATTTTTTTTTTTTTTATAAAAAATCAATTTAATGTGTGATAACTTAAATTATAATTTAAAAAAATATTAACTTAACCATAACTTTACGTAAAAGAGGTGCTTTGGGAAATGTGTTTTCATTGGGATACATAAATTTTCCATAGCAAAAAAGTTACAGCGATTGTTAAAAATGCACAGTTTGAAGAACACTCCGTAACTCCGAAGCGGTAACAGATATTAATGTGCGTTGTTCACCATCATGTTTTTCATAAAAATTGAGCTACAAGACACTGGTATTAGTTTTCGCCTATCTCCTATAGAAAAGGGTGTTTGCATTAAAAGCGTCGAATTTGACCCACCCGGTACAAAATAAATGTATTTGATGCATAGTAATATATCGAGTTTCATAAAGCTAACTATAATAAAATCAGAGTTATTAGAAAAATATTCGAGTGTTACCACCCCTAGTATCTGAGCACTTATAATGTTAAGGTCATAAGCATATTGATTAAGCTTTCTCTTAGATAGTTGCAAAGAATTCATCCCCTCTTAAATCTAGCAATGTCATTAAGGAAGCAATCTGTATACTTTATTTCATTACCAGTATGTTATATAAATACGGTTTCCAGTTTTAATTTTAATTGCCGTTACCGGGATATAAAGTTATCCCTATAGTTTTCCTAATAAAACAAAAACCTAACAGGTATGTATGTAGAGTGTTTCAAAAAACATTGCCATCTCTCTCGTGGTGAGATGCTCAGCGTAAAAATATTGATTTAACTTGTTCATATCAATAATGGTCCATCTAGGTTTGTTTGTAGCTAACAGGGGATGTTAAATTTTAAGTATTTTTGTTCGATTAATTATAATTTCCTACAAGTACGTTTAGCGGTTGCAAAATGAAATTTGAGGGTAAAAGTTGTTACTATAAGTGCTACAATTTAATGCTAAAAAGTTACACGAAAACCTTACAGGGATTGCATATTGGGTATAACTGGAATAATTTGTCGAAAAAAAAACATGTGCGCCACTGACTTTTTTCTTTTGATATCAAATTTGTGTAGGCTGTTTAATGCCAGTTAAACGTTATTCCTTGGTATTTTGTCGAATTCGGCCTCCTTGATGAGATAAACCCAATTTTATTAATCACAATTAAAAAATTAAAATTAAAATAAAATTAATAAATGATGTATTTTACCTAATTTATTATTAAATATTATTACTATTAGTTATTATTAATTATAACTATTAGTACAACCTACAGTAATTTCAAATAAAAAAATAATGGGTATTTAAAATAATTACAAAAAACCTAATTTTCAGAAGTTTTAACATCCTGTAACTCTAAAACTATGCATTTCTATGCCCATGTTTATAGGAACTTTTTTACATATTTTTTGATGAGGAGTTAATGTGTACTTATTTAAAACTTCCGCAAGTTAATGATATTAAAATTTCTAAAAGGTTGCTATTAGACTTGGACTAAGGCAAATTAATAAAATTGCGTTTATCTCATCAAGGAGGCCGAAATCGACAAAATATCAAGAGACAACTTTTAATTGGCAGTAAACAGCTTAAACTATTTCGCTAACAAGATAAAAAAAGTCACTGGCTTACATGCCTTTTTTAGAAAAATATTCCGGTGATAACCCATATGCACGTCCCTGGTGAATAGTCGACACTTTTTTAGCTTTAAAATATGTAGTATTTATAGTAACTTTTACCCTCAAAATTTCATTCGAAAGTCTAGAAGTACTTGCAAGAAAATTATAATAAATCGAAATAATATTTAGATTTTAACACCCTGTAACTACGAAGCAAAGCAGAATTGGACCTATGTTGATATGAAAATAAATCTTATTTTTACGTGAGGAATCTCCCCACGAGTTTTTTGAAACACCCTGTATAAAGTTTATGGAATTTACTACCGGCTGTCAAGAATAATATCAAAAGACGAACTGTTAAATATATCAAAGATTTACGAGAATGTCGAAGGTTTTTTCCACCTCCAACTTGTCAACAGAACGTTCTCGTTTCGGCATCCCCTTTATCCGATGGCTCTATCTCCCTCAGTGATGAAATATGAACCCTTGAGTGAAAAGGATCATAAATAAGTGTTCATCCGCTCGAAATGGTGTTTTAAATCGATGAGAGTTGACGTTAAGAAACAGTGGCGATGATAAAAGGCTATTTAATGGATTGCTTTAGGAGTCTGTTATGTGGAGCGAAAGGAAACATCGCTTCATATTCAAGTATCTAATGGGTATATTTTAGTGGAAAACTTTGGGAAGGAATACTTAATTTTAGTAGAAATTCATCATAAATATATCACATAGAATATGTATATTTATCAACCAATAAAATAGAAATTTAGAAAACTACCATATATGAGTATACAGGGTGGCGCCCCTCATACGCCGCGGAAGCTCCAAGGAGAACGGTAGTTTATATCGAAATGCTGAATGAATTTTGGCAGCGTTTATGTGTCCCCAAAAAAAGTTACACATTAAAGTTGTGTTTTTTCTAAAGGAACACCCTATATGTTAATTGATTTTCGGATTTTAGGAAAAAAATAAAGGTGAGTTTTATTAAAGAAGCATATACCTAAAATTTAAGGATTTTGACATATTCCACATTTTGTGAAAACGAAGAGTAAATTTTAAATTTCGATAATAGCTACCTAAATTTTAGTTGACCTTGTATAGCCTGATATTTAATTACAGTAACCATTGTATGTTAAACCAAATTAAAATTTGACCCGAAAAGTTATACAGGATGAGACAAAATTAATATGGAACATTAGTCACTTTTAAAAGCAAGTTACTCCTTTATTTTAAATGGAACAATCAGTATATTTTTCTGGTGTTCAATGGGGAATTTATATATCTTCAAAATATTATTAAGGTTGCCTACCCCTCAGATAAAGATTTTCCTAGATATTTTAATTTTTATGATTTTGCGTCAGTAGATCTTTATTATCCGAAAAAAGCTAGGGGGTGGCTGTGTGATATACCTTTTGTTAATTTATCAAAAATTAAAGATTGTAGACTAAAATACTCAACGGTAATAAAAAGATACACGTTAATTGGGCACTGTTAAGCAAAAAACAACCAAGCCACAATATGTTAATTAGTAGTAATCAGTTTTTTCATGTTTTTTTTTAATTCATTAATTTTCGATTATTATTATGAAAACCATATCTTCACTAGTCAATAGTTTAATTAGAACTTAATTATTTTTTGTAACATTTGAATAGTCAAAACTCATTATCACAAAAAAAAACTTGATATTTTGGGGTTGGTTTCTTTTTGCTGATTAACGAATTGCAAAAAAAACGCGATTTTTCAACTTATTTTTTTATTCACGAACTTTAACTTGGAAAACTAACATATACGAGTAGATCGAGTATACGAGTAGATACAAAAGACTTTTTATTGATGCATTTCACAAATTTTCATCTGCTTCAATATCGAAATCAAGCACATCTATGTCAAAGCCATCAACATCCTCGATGATTCTTTTATTACCCTTAAGATTAGCATAGAACTGTACAGCATCAGACGGAATTAGGTAAATCATTTCATTCAGGTTTTGCAACTTTGGTAGGGCTATTGGTTTACCTTGTGGCCATAGTGGCAGCAAATCTTCGAAAAGTGTCCCAGTAGTAAATGGCCTTCCCCGGATGGTCTTCTTAATGTTAACCTTCTGGAAGGGATTCTTGAACGAATTTTGTTTCACGAAAAGGTAAAAAGGCTCATCCTTCTCCAGTTTAATACTTCTGATGTATAGCCAGTTGATTTTCTCCTTGTCTTCTGTTTGCTTTCTGTTGACAATATTTTTTTCTATTTTTTCGACGCTGAAAAAATCATTCGATTCCATTTTTGTAACGATAAACGGCTTCCTCTTACGACAAGTTCTCATAATATTTATGTAGTCATCTGGCGTATAAAGCCTCTGATGTCTTTTGAGTTCAGACTCGATGTCGCTGAAATCCGCGTCATTGGGAAGAAAACTATGACCCGACATTAAAAAGTTCATAGTTATAGTTTCCAGGTTTGGGGTTCGGTGCAAAATAGATTTAAGTAACAAGGTAATTTTTATATTTCTATTCTGCCCTCCACATGCATCACTCCAGAGTATTAGATGTTTTACAGTTGTTGTCAATAACTGACACTTAATGTGTTTAAGTAAACACGACCCCACCTCTTGCGAGCCGCGACCAGCCTGTCCTTCGACCCATACGTAACAGTATCCTTGATCCGTCTTACCGCTATGAATTCCAGCATTATAAACCCAAAGCTGGCGTTTATAGAACACAATATTCGTTGGAATGCGAGGTAAAGGTAAGGTTTTCTCTAAGTCAAATGTTAAACATTCCACTTCATCATTTTGTTTAGCATTCTCAAAATCTCGTCTGCGAAGGCATTGGGCCTCTTTTGCTTCTTGTAAATGAGTATCGTGCTTATTTTTCAGTTGTTCCTTTTGTTCGAGATTTTTCTCATTATCGATCGCAACCTTATACCTATCACACAAGTTGCAAGTGTCTTTCTTGATAGATTTCGTTCGTAAGTTAAACTTGCTGTAGAAAATTCTTTTGTAGGTGGCAATGCTAACTGGAGAATTTTCTTCATAGCAATACAAATTGTACATTTTCTGTAAGGTCATCTCTGGAGGCAAAAAAATAGCTTCAGTAGTATTTCGACAGTAATGCGAAACATATCGTGGAATTTTGTTGATATGATCTATTACTTTCTGTACACTTACATCTGGAAGCTTATTTTTCCCCCGTGATTCCTCTCTGATCAGTTAAAGGAGACCGTCCATGGAACTTTTTCAAAGCCGTATTAACCCTGAACGTTGATACTCCTAAAGTCTTGACGAAAGTATTGCGACAGACGATCTCCTCACCAAGCTTGTATTTTCTGGAAAAGGTCCTTTTAGTAGCATTCCGTCCATATAGTCGTTGCTTCGGGTATTCGATGACTGCGGCGGCAATGAAGTTTGTGCATTGTACGACTTCAGTGACCAAAACCTGGTAAACTGCTCCTTTCTTTCTTCGATACATACTTTTTCTGAGCACTTTTTTGGACAGCTGCAACGGTAATCTTCGAACTGTTTTGGTTCTACTTTTCTACCTTTGTAGTTGAAGTATGTTTCATTACTGTCTTTATTAATTTTCTTTTGGGCTCTATTTTGCTCTTTATGTTTACGTTTACGTCCTTTCTTAGGCCTTCCTTGTTCCTTGGACTCGATCGACGATTCACTGGAACTGTCACTTTCTATATTGTTTTTATCAGCAGCTATGTGACGTGGTTGATTACCGGCATCATTTACTTCATATGATGGATCTGCAATAGAGTCGTCACTGTCTTCTATGTCAGAGGGACCTGCATTATCAACCCATTCCGGCCGTTTTCTCAATCTGTTCTTATTACAAACATTGTAACTGGGACCTGGCATTGATTCTAATAAATTAGAACCATTGTTGTTGTTTGTTTCTGAAACAAACATGATAAAATTTTATACTTAAGCAACTCTATGCCGTTTTTATTTTGACACACCATCAACGAATTCTGCAATTGGATGGTTCGATTGAAAGTTTGAGGTACTATCAAACATAGTAACAGGAGAGTAGGATGTTTTATCGTCATCAGTTGTATTTTGTTCTGAAATTGCAAAGAAAGACATTGAAATGTTGATAAGACCTTCAAATATTTTTTCCTGGAACTTTGTACAGGAAATGAAGATTATTTTCTTTAGGAAACAAGAAAAAAGTAATATACCTTCTTGTATGCCGATTTCTTGGGGATTCGAGAAGTCTGTTGGTCTGTCACAAAATTCGCTTGAATGTGCTTCAAGTTGTTGATGCAAATCTGGGATATTTACATAACTTGTAGGACCTCGATCTGAAAAATACAAAATTGTGATCTGCAAAAACCAACCAACCCAACCGAAATGCAATTCTATAACTATTTACCTAATATTTGAACAAAAAATAAACGTGTGTTGCTACAACTAACATTGAGTTCCCGGTTTAAGAGTATTATGGAAGATATAAAGTATTATATAGTTGATAAATAAAAGATTAAACTAATTTAAGCATAACCTCAAATTCTTATACTCACCTTTTTCGGCAATTTTTCGAGCATCGCTCATAATTTTTTCAGTTCTGGATTTGAACATATTGGCTCGTTAGTAAGTTAAACACTGTTGATCAAAAATACGCGCTGTTTAACACATCTCAAGAAGTCGTTTCATACACGCATCAACACGATAACAAAGTTATGCGATACTAATAAAGTGAGGTTATATTCGGCATAATAATACCAACCCACTTGGTTGGTAAAAATGGGGGAATTTTTTAAAAATTTGATTTTGCAAAATAAAACCAACCCACTTGGTTTCTAATATTTGACGAGGAAATTAAATAATATCAATCATACCAATAATCCAAGTGGAATGGTTGTTTTATGCAAAATTTGAAAAGCCGGATTAGCGAACATAGCCGAAATGGTTACGCATTTTACAAGGACAAATATATAGGATGGCTTGGTAGCTTTCTGCAGAATGTAGAATGGGTATTTTTAAATCAGTAGATGGCAATATCCCGTTTTTTTTCAGAATGTGGGTTGGTTGCTTTTTGCATAACAGGGCCCAATTAAAACTAGATATAAACCTATAATTATGTGACAAATGGCCAGATGAAAAATGCTCAAAATCCTTCATTTGTTATTAACTGCATAAAATGATTGTCTTTTCAAAAGGATTTTTTCATTTTAAAAGGCATATGTGGAGTTCTTCCTCGAAAAGCAGCTACAATAATTTCTCTCATGTTGTCGACAATAGTTGGTCGAGTTTTGTAATCATTGTCTTTAACATATCCCCATAAAAAAACAGACTAGGTAAAATCAGGAGCATTTAAGTATTCTATTAATTATAGAATCATATCAATTCTTTCTGATAGAGGATAAGTTTGCATTTTCCGCAAATTTTTGAGAATTTTTTTTGTTTTAATTGACACAAAATAATAACTAGTTTTTAAAGTTGGACTAATTAGACAGCTATGTTGAAGTAACGTCAGACATATTACAGCCACCTCTAGATTTTATCAAATAATAAAGATCTACTCATATTAAATTATGTAAATGAAAATATCTAGAAAAATCTTTGTTGGAGGGGTGCAACCTTAATAGTATTTTGAAGAGACATAAATTCTCCATTGAATATCGGAATAATATACTGGGTGTTCCTTTTAAAATAAAAGAGTAGCATGATCAATATTAATTTTGTCTCACAACCACTCATACGTATATTAAAGTTAGAAAAAATCTATCCGAACCTATAATAACAACTAAAGGTTTAAGGCAAGGTTGCAGTATATCTCCATTGCTCTTTAATATATACATAGAATGGGTATACCAGTGGGAGAACATATTTTATATTCACTCAGCTTTGCTGATGACCAAGTGGGGATCGCTCAAGATTCTTACGACCTAGAGTTTATGTTAAACAGGCTACATGAAGAATATGAAAGATGGGGATTAAAAATCAGCTTTAAGAAAACCGAATTTCTGGTGGTTAACTCGGAAACCAATTTTGAACTTCTGCTGAATGATGAAGTGCGGCTTAGCCAGGTAGAACAATTTAAATATTTGGGCGTTAATGCTAATAAATTGCTATGAATTAACCTACATATCCTCACAAAATTTCATTTCAATACAAACTGTCTTTCTCCTTGAAGCTTCCGCGGCGTATTAGAGGCGCCACCCTGTACAAATATTATCAAGTGTGAACTAAACTAAATTTTAAAACTACTGAGCTTATATACTAGAGCCGAGCATTCACCCTTGAATTTGTTGGGTGCAGTCAAGCATAAGGTTTTCCACTAAGAACACCTGCATTGGAGTGGTTGCCATATTGTTGAAATTTCCATACTTGGATTGCCAAAGATTTTATTATTGTTAGAAATGAACACGGCCTCTTTAAATTTGCGCTTTTTTCAATGGGGTTATTTGTGGACAACCCGGGCTTCCGACCATTTTATGTTGTGGTGCTCGGACCACTCATGATCTGCAATGCCCGACTAAATTGTTTGACCTCCTTGCGTATGTTTTTTATGTGCGTCAAGTCGTACATGTAGAAGACATTTTGTCCCTCCAATATACGACTCACCGCAGTCGTAAGGTACTTGATAGATGCACTCTTTCCCTTGGTTTGATGATTCAGGTTTTGTTTTTGTTAGGACACTTCTTAAAGTAGTCCCAGACATAAAAACAGTTTTAATTCTATATTGCTTAGCTATTCGCCTGATCTTCTCCGATGTTCCTTTCACATATGGAATCGTCAAGAGAGAGAGAGCATCCTCCTCAGGCTGGCGTACCAATGAGTCGGACCTGTAATTGGAAATAATATTATCTAGGGATTTTGTAAAGTAACCATTCTGAAGCAAATCGGTTTTAATATTACTTAGTTCAGAATTCAAAGATTCTTGGTCACTGTGCATATAGTGATTGCTCTATGACATAGTGTTTTAACTATATCTCTTTTTGGTTGGTTCAGAATGGTTCGAGAGAGAATTTAAACATTGTCCCGTATGTGTGGGTTTTATATACAGCAGTGCTAATGGATCCATCGCTTCTACTGACAAGAACATCCAGAAACGGTAGACAGAAGTTTTTCTTTCTCAGTCGTGAATCTGATTGAGTTATTTCGTGAATTAAAATGATTAAAAAAGGAATCCAACTGTCTATCGATTCCGTTCCAGATTATAAAGGTATCAACAACATATCGAAGCCAGATTTTAGGGTTGACGACCGCAGTACTAATGGCATTGGTCTCGAACGATTCCATATATGGTGTTTTTAGTGGAAAACCTCATTCTTGACTGCAGTATACAAATATCTTTTAAAACGCAAACTGTAGAATGTATGGGAGGGAGTAATTTTGTCCCCCTTTCTTGAGTTATAACTCATCACACAATCTCAGGACAAAATCCGATAGGGTTTTACAGGGATTTTTTTCCCAACGAAGGGCCGCGGCCGTCCTCTGCCGGAAACACTGCGACCTGTAAGGCCTATTGTGTTTTTCCCCTTTCTATATCTGCACCCATTCTCCTATCCCTGTGCCCTGCGCTAACTTATGTAGGTCCTTGATAGGATGGGAGCATAGTTCCTCCGGTTCTAGCCTAGCTTTCCTAAATAAAAAGTGTCGCTTGCGATCCAGAGCCTCGCAGTGACATATTATGTGCTCCGCTGTTTCAGGATCTTTATCGCAGAGTATGCAAAGACTTCTTTCATACAGGTTGAGCTTGTTCAGGTAACACTTGACAGTCATGTGTCCTGTCTAGAGGCCTGTTGTAATCCGCACTTTATTCCTGCTGAGCATTAGCAGTTCTTTTGTGGTTTTAGAGCTAGGTCCTTCGATAAAAGCCTTTTTTACAGGCATGGCGTACAGGGATTAGTTCGCCATCTCCGATATCAGTCGTTCATGGCACGAATGGTTGTCGTTGCGGTGCACTGATGAGTTGTTCTGGTGTCTTTTCATTTCCCCACAGAATTCGCCGTTGTTTCTTAGCTTCAATATACAGAGGTGTTAGTTGAGGAGACAGTGTCCTGTTAAAAACCTTGGGGCAATCCAAAAATTGTTCTTACTTAAATCAAGGAAAATCTTTGATTTTTCTCGGTCGTAAGTCCTGAGAAATTTCTTCGAGTGTCTTAGACCGCCGGATGATTCCCATTCCAGGCTACGGATGCGGTCTGTCAGATTCTTGAGATCCGCTTTAAGTTGGCTTCCACTTGAGCAAAACGGTTTTGATCCAGTTAATGGAGTGTTCGGTCCTTTTCTAACTAGGTCGTTTGCTTTTTAATTGCCTCCTATCCCTTGGTGAGCTGGCATCCAGAGTAGGAGGACTTTATTTTCTTTGCCTAATTTGTTCAGCTTCTCTATGCATTCTTTGACCAACTTTGAATTGATGGTTACTGAGTTGATCGCTTTTAGTACTGCTTGACTGTTGGTTCAAGATGGTAAGATGGCTATTTTTTTATCCAATAAGTTATACGCATCTTTCGATAGCGCAGATTTCTACCTAAAGTATGCTGAGATAGGTGCCCATTGGTTGAGGGAATTTTGTTTTCTGCCCAAATACTCCTATCCCTGTTCTTGTTTTAGTTTTGGAAGCATCAGTATACCACGTTAGTATGGTCTTTTATCTGCTGAGCAGATGTTTCTTTCTTCCATTCCTTTTTATTACTCAATGCTATAGTGAGGCGTTTCTCAAAGTTACTTCCATTAGTTAAGTACATTCGTGGTATGTCATTTGGGAGATAGAGAGGTGGAATTCTCATTTTGTGGAATTAATTACATTACATTGGCAGAGAGCTATATGGAGGGTTCAGTTTCCAAGTTGCTAGATTTTTTGAAAAGGATATATTTATTATACGCTTGCTTTCCCCAATTAATTATTAAAATATCGCATTTAAATATTTGCGACAATGCAACTTTTAGCTACTGTGTTTTGTAATTGAAACAACGTCATATTCTGTTGATATTTGATTGGAAATTATAGCAGTCAATGTTATAATTAAAACCACAAAAAAACGTTTTGAGATCCCCTACAATGCAAAGTATTTCACTGAAATATCTAGTTTGCCAAGTTGAAGTGCACTAAAAAGTATCATGTACTTACTTACATTTGCTACTTGTTTTCGAAAGTCTCGGCACCACCGGTAATGGAATTACTTCCGTTCCAAGCTGCACATTTCTTATTTAGAACTTAAGAAAAACTTTTCAAACAAGAAATAAGTTGAATTCAAATAATGAAAAGTCATATTTTATTCTTCCTTTATGTCCTTTTTTATCTGTTATTATTTCTAAAAACTACAATATATGATTTTTTAATAACTGCAGGTTGATATATTAAATCATAAATCATTTTACTCTATATCTGGTGTTTTTCAAATGTCTGTCACTTCCTGTTTAACCGGAAATTACTAGTTCTCATTTTTAAATGATATTCTCGATTTTTTAATTTTATTTGATAGAAAATGGTATGTCTTTTGATATTTTCACTTGTAGAATGTAGAATGTTTAGGAGGGGAGTTAGTCACCGCGACCTTAAAGATCTATTTTGTGTTCACCTTTCTTGAGCTATAACCAGTTATAACTCATCATACAGTCTCAAGGCTTTAACAAAAGCCAGTATCTGAGACGGCTCCATAAAGGCCAGCTCTCCATCCTTGACATCAGCCGTACCAAAGTTCATGGCACGAATGGTCGTCGTCTCGGCGCACTCAGTGATGTGGTGTTCTGGTGTTTCCCCATATTCCCCACAGAATCTGCATTCGCCGTTGTTTCTCAGCTTCAGCCTACTGAGGTGTTCGTTGAGGAGACAGTGTCCTGTTAGGAACCCCGTGACAATCCGAAGATTGTTTTTACTTAAATCAAGGAAAACCTTTAGTTTTTCTCGGTCGTAGGTTCTGAGGAACTTTTTCGAGTGTCTTAGACCGTTGGAGGACACCCATTCCAAGTTGCGGTTGGAGTCTTCCAGATTTTTCAGTTCCGCTTTCAGCTGGTTTGGTTTGGATATTTTCACTTAAAATAATAGTATTTTAAGTTTCAAACTATCGTGACTGTCCTAAAACGACCAACAA